ACCGAGATATTTTTTTACCTACAGGGTGACACTGAGGTCTTTTTTGTTTCCCACAGGGTGACACTATGGTCTATCTTTATTCCCATAGGGTGACACCAAGGTCTTTTTGTTTCCCACAGGGTGACACTAAGGCCTATTTTTATTCCCACAGGGTGACACTAAGGTCTATCTTTATTCCCATAGGGTGACACCGAGGTCTTTTTTTCCCCAAAGGGTGACACTGAGGCCTATCTTTATTCCCACAGGGTGACACTGAGGTCTTTTTTACCACAGGGTGACACTAAGGCCTATCTTTATTCCCACAGGGTTACACTGCGGTCTTTTTGTTTTCATTTTGCCACTTAGCGTAAACAAGTTAATCGGATATTTTGTCAATAACCAATAATAGTCCCAATAATAGCCCCATATTGAGTTGTAATCTCGTCCTCTGGTTGCGAGTGAAAGAGAAATGAAGACTGACGCTCGAGAACATGAAGGTTTAGACTGGATAACGCTTGAAAAGCGGTTAAAGCTTTTAATTGTTGTCAGTTATAATCAATGAGAGAGTGTGAATGCGTTGTATTATCAAAGTCAGATTTCATCTTTTAGGAGTATATTGTAAAGGCTCGAATAAATGCTCTTTTTTTTTATATAAAGAATCCTGGTATTGATGTTCTAATTCTTGGTACATAATAAGATATGCACTATAATACCCCCTCCCCCCAGTGGCTCGGCGGCAAGCTTAAACACTTACGCGCTAAAAAATCGGGTTTTGATAACCAGGACGGGAACAGACAGGGCAGATATCCCATTGTGTGGCTTTGAGCTTAAACACAACCAAACAAGCAATCGTTACAATACTAATCCTTAATAATAATGAAGCACTGATGGTTAAGACTAAATAAACATCGATATTTAATGTTGTTGTTGTTTGTTATTAAGCACAAAGGTCTATCTGTATCGAAACCCGGTTTCTAGCAGTAGAGGATATTTAATGTTTACTGACCTCTACCATTCAGGATTTATAAATATAATTACCATATTTATTCAATTAGCTTGCTACTTAGAACTTTCATAGCTCTGCTATTTTAAACTTTATTACTTGTTGTTTATGTTTTATTAAATACTATTGCTTAAAACTAATAAAACTGCTAATTGGAGCTTAACGAGTAATGTTACTCGGGGATTACTAAGTGCTGTTATATGAGGTTCACTAAATTCGTGAGTCGCGCGTGGCCTAGTAGATGGCGTGCCGGATTGTGAATTTGAGGTTTCCTAGGTTCGCGTTTCGTCGCAGTAAAAAGTTGCTAAACAATATTGGGCCGTGGATGCGTTATAAGAGTGACGGTCAAATCAACTATTGAATTAGAGTAGCCCAAGAGTTGGTGGTGGGTGCTCTTGACAACCTACCTTCCATCTAGTCTATCAGTTTAATATTAGAGACGGCTAGCACAAATAGCCCTTATATATTCTTTCCGTGTATTTTGGAAACAAACAAGCTTTTCATAATTTCTAATAAACGAAGATCAATTGAAATATAGAAAAGAAAATGATTCCAGTACAATCATTGTATTCCAATTTCTTGTGTGGAGAACATCGATATCCAATATCTGTGATAAACTATTCCTCACAGTTTAGTGGCTGATACAATTATTAACGAAACACGAACTTTCTCTGGCTCCAGAAATCAATATTTGTTTCCATCTTGTAGCTAAATAAACGTTACTCAAGACCAGAACTGCAG